GCTGAAATTCACCTTTTTCGTCTTCGATTATGCTTTATGAGCTGTCCTGAGCGTTTCCTGAAAATTTCGTTGAGACAGCATGAGATTTGATCGAGATATAAGGATTTTAATTTTTGCTAGTAACAGGCGGAAAACCGGTTTTTCACAAAAATGCCTCTGGCGAAGTTATATTCATTTCCACACAAAAACAAATGTTGCCACTATGCTCAGCGTAGTCGATTACCTATATCCCATGGCATTTCTAGATTCCCAGAGATGTCTGCTTGGAGATAGACACGTGCCCGGGGAAAGCCAGCCCTGTCTGAACGACGATAGCTGGAGAGCCGGGACCTGCATAATTTAGTAGAGTAACGTCTGGACTATTTACGCATGCAAAAAGATTACTAACATTGTATCTTATTTTTCCGAGAATGGAACTGGTTTTCCAAAGATCCTCTTGGAAAATCGACTTTAAATTTATTTTTTGAGAGTGTTTTCGCATGGCTATATGCAAAAAAGTGTTGGCTAGCGATCTGCGAAAACCAGAGATCGATATCTCTTTCTATGGGGGAGTTATTCAAAATTTAGTCAGGGACATTGCTTTTTGAAAACGATAATAGTTTTTTCGATCAATACTATCTGATCAACAGGGTTTTCACAGTTCTTGATGTACTATTCTTAAGAAAATGCATATTTACAATTCGAATATTGGCGCCTTTAACCACACCTTACAATATGTTAAGGTCAATTTGAAGCCTACTTTCCTGATATAAAGTCAGTTTAGTAGTGCGAGTTTGTTCGCCTTGCGTAGCATTCGCCACCAGGAAAAGCCGTTACATAGGGGCAGATTTCTAATTTTTCGGAAATATTCTGATTTTCAGTGACTTGCTATGATAAAAGATGAGGGCGATTGATTTTCGAATCGACCGTCGCTATATTGATCCTTCTATTGAATTCATGATTTTCTCTTCAATGCTCGACAACTCCACTTTTCACGACAACTTTTCTCGACTCGTTTTAGTCAAATTCATGCGCAAGTTCGTCAATGTTCTAATAGTATAAATGATGCTTGTAAGAGCATCACATGATTCTAGTCATCAAAACTCGACTTCATTGCAAAAGAGCTACTTTTTCGGGGATGATAACTCCTGAAAAGCTACAAAATGATGAAAAAACATGGGTCAAAATATGCTGCCTTCGATGGTTTTTCCTAGATTCAATAGGTAAAAAAATATTGTTCTTTTTCCAAAAAAAATCAAGTTTAGCATTAAAAGAGTCTGCTTCGGTTAAGTATCCGACCTGTTGTTGAGTTGTAGACGTTCCCACGAAAGTTTTCGGCTTATGACACTAGATTTTGAAATAATTCAGAGCTCAAACCTCGAGCTACAACTTTGTTCATGATACCAACTGACAGATTTTTGAGAAAAACACATCAACTCATGTATTTTTGTGTCGATAGATCACTGTTCTTCTAAACGATGGCTTTTTCCTCTAATACCAAAAATCATCGAGTATTTTCTCCTCTTTTCATTGTCTTATACTGTTTATTCGGATTCCGCAAGATATCTTATAAAGAATGGAGTGCTTTAAGCAGGTTCAAATGTGGTCCAGGTTCATTCCATTTTATTAGAGAACAATCACGAGAAGAAGAAGTACTCCCAAAGTCAACAGGTTCTTGCTATTTGTGAAACCATCAGAAGTTGTCGTCAAGCTCGTAAGTGGAGTCGAAGTGACAGTGATGCTCATGTTACTTTGCGTCACATGTTTTATCCAGGGAAGATAGACTGATAATCTCGTGTATACTCTTGCATGACCTGGTCTATCACAACTATCTGTAGTTGACGCGATTCCAACCTAAATACAGAAACAAAAGTTTCAATGAAGACTCTGCGAGATTGTTGAATATGAAACATAGTGAGATCATTCGGATCTTAAATGAGAACGCGAAATAAATAGATAAAGGTCTGTGGTGAGACAAAGAACTTGTTCTCGATGAGTGTCATGGTCTGTTGAGAAAGGAATGAGGACGATTCATTTTTCTAGCTTTATATTTCACCAATTATGATCTTATAAAAAACTATGAATTATCCATTCAGTTATGTACTCACTTGCTCCCAACGATCTTGTTTGAAAATAAAAGCAGGACTGCCTAAATCACCTACAAATCAAACAACGACTTCATCTTACTTTACTCGTTTCTTCTCTACTTGCCTAGACATGAACCTGAGCAAAATAAAAACCCAATTATCTTTCGATGAATAAGAGGAAAAAAATGGAACATTTTACTTACCTGTACCACCAGTCACATCTCCAACACAAAACTGATAATTATCACTGTATAGATAACAGGACGTAGGGTGAGGGCTGACCAGTTTGATACGCGCTTGTTGTAGAACATCAGAGAAATTGCTTCCTGAACTCGAATATCCCCATCCGACGATAAGCAATGAAGAATTAGCATCTGGATATTGAGTGAACGAGGATAAAATATTCGGAATACATGTCTTTGTCAATCTCATCAGTATATTTAAGGGTAAAGGGCGATCGAGTTGCAAGATGGCAATATCATGTAGCGATCGATCATATTCATATGTAAAGTTTGGATGAATATGCATTTGATCGACATCTCGAATAACTGGCGGATATTCTGATAGAGTATGAGTGGCAGCAATAATACGAATCGAATTGGGACTTGATACAGTCAAAACACATCGAGCAGCAGTTAGAATGAAAAGATCCGATAAAATAGTACCAGCACAAGTATGTTGTAAACCATTCACTCGCACGGAAACTATCATTGACCAACTATATGGAACGGCATTGTGACCGTGAACAATTTTCGCTTGGAATTGTTGAGACAAAACTACATTATTCAATGAACAACCACATTGATCAGCATTTTGTTCACATGGGTAGGTTATTGTTTCAACCGGCGTAGAACTCGTGGTAGTTGTAGGTGTTCTAGTAGTGTTCGCTGTTGTTAGGATTGATGGTTCCAGATGTTCACCTTCATTTTTAAGTATGCCATTTATCCAGTCATAGTAATATGAAAGTCGAGTATAAATGCCAGGATAGCCACGATCTCCACAGCCGTTTCCATATGAAACAATACCCACTTGTTCCCAGTAGCGACCTGTCCATTGAAAGATGGGTCCACCTGAGTCTCCTATAGAATATTACAATAGCACATGAGTCGAAGTAAAATCCACGTAGTTTAACACATACCTTGACAGGCATCTGAAATGAAAGGAACAAATATAAGTTAAGTGACGTATAGTCTTAAAAATCATTCGTTTCAACTTCAATGACAAATAATTCCCGTGTGAACAGGAAAATGAAACTAAGTCAATGTCGAATATCGTCACTTAGATGGGAAAAATACTGATGAGTTTATGATCATTCTTAACTTTCAGGACAATGTCTGAAGTAAACTATCGAATGGTCAGAACTACGTAGTCACTCACCTTTACCACCTTCCATAACTCCAGCACAGAATTGCAATTCAATGTCATTGATCGTACGTACACATGTGGGATCCTCATTGTCAATAGTGTAGACTTCAACTTGTTGAAGGACATCTGGCATATAGAAAGATACGGATCCTGCAGCACCCCACCCGATTACGGCTAGACGTGTGCCATTTTTTGAACTATATATTTTTCAAAAGAATGCCGTTGGGTAGCCCGTGAGATTCTCTACAAACTGAGCTGGTCAGAAAATCTAGGCAGGTGGAGCCAGTCATTAAAGCTATGCAAAAGAAGCTTTTGAGTGCTATATACGCAGCACATTTTTGTGTCATAATCACAAGAACTCCTTTGTTTTTCGAAGTACTACCTATCCTGAAAAAATCGCGGTTTCATCTCTTCTCGTTCACGAGAATAACGAAATGTACGTTTTTCCACGCATAACTTCTCGAACTTTACTCGATTCGAAAAAATTTCATATCTACAGAACGAATAAGTTATATTACAAACTGTTTTACCATCACTAAATGGTGTTGAATTTGAAACATTACTAGAAAACGACGAGATAATGGATATCAACAACTTTTATAATGCAAATAAAACGAGATAGTGTTGAACAGATATAAGGTGTTGTTAATATTATTACAGGATACATAAGCTGAAGTAATATCACATTCAACAATATGAGTAATACTAAAAGTATACAAAATACGTATATCTCAAAAGTCTTTTATCCAAAACGATCAAACACTTAATAAGAAGTTATCGTAACGTCATTATTATTTTCGCTAAAGTGTTGTTATGCAGAAAAAGAAAACAGGGCGTTCATCCATGTACAATGAATAGGAAAATTATTAACAATAGAATAATTATCGTAAGAGTGTGATTTCGCGGTTTCATCTCTTCTGGTTCACGAGACAAACGAAATGTACGTTTTTCCCACGCATAACTTCTCGAACTTACTCGATTCGAAAAAAATTCATATCTGTAGAACAAAAAGTTCGGGAAGCCTACAAATTTGGATTTATGGGTTTTCGACCATGCTCTACTAGATGAGGCTATTTGGAAAAAAAATCTGAAATGGACATTGAGCTTGGCTTGTAGTGGCTTATGTGCATTGGCTCCTAGATGGTAACGTAGGTACACAATATAATATTATATTTGTCATTTAGTGTTCAACTGCTAATGGTGCGTTGTAGTAGTCAGATCTAAAGGTTCTTTTTCTGATCCAAACATCATCTTCTTCTTGTTTTCATGCCGCATAGTGTCCTTAAGCGCCAGTTGATTTCTACTATCCATTTCAAAAAGGAATGAACACGGTTACGTTTTGAATAATTCAGGAACGTTACTAGCTAGCGAGTTCGGGTCTTCGCCGACAAGTTAACGATAGCTGGGGACATCCAGGCATGTAGTAATCATCGGGCTTCCCGAGATCTTTGAGGGATTTCCTGAAGGGCTCTGAGATACTATTCTCCCGCGAGTTAAAGATTTTGATTCTTCTAAGTGGTTACGATTTGCCATACTGTCCTCCACAAAACTATGCAAAGTTGAACTCGCTAACTGGTTCCGTTCAGGAGCTATGAGCATTTTGGCGAGAGCCCCGATTCCACCAAGCTGTCCTTGAATCACCCATGAGTCAAGATAGGGGTAACCGACCATGCTGAGGTGTGTGGTGATGTTTATTTTTGGTTTCAAACTGATCTAAAGTCACTATATCAAGATTTTCTAATTTCAGTATTCTGTCTCTATGTTGCGTATAGAGCGGATAGTTTGAAAATCATGCTATGATGACTTGACTTGCTACTGTTCATTTAGAAAACGAAGAGGAAGAGAACACTTCCATAGTAATATTTCGAACAAAAGAAATGACTTTTAATGATCAGAAGTGTTTTTGTGAACATCTGATGAATATGCAGCAACACATCCTTTAATCTATGAAAGTGACGTTTTATTCATTTTTGTGATTACTTAGAAAAGAAGTTATTTAATATCTAGAGTACTTACTTCATTATGTCTACGGATTCGCAATAATGAAAACGAAGAGGAAGACAAGACTGTGAACGTCTTCATAATAATGTTTCGAACAAAAAAAGAAACTCATGGTTTTCGACGAATAAAAGTGTTTTGATGAACATCTGGTGAATGTACAACAACAAAGTCTTTAATCTAAGAAAACGACATTGTTCATTTACGTGGTTTCTACTTAGAATTAGTAGAAGACTGTTTTTCTTAACAAAGTGCTGCAGACACTACAGAATGAGAGAACAGTAAAAATTAAACTGTGCTCCGTAATAACTATATTACAAACTGCTGAAGTCGGTGAGATGAGTAAGAAAAGAGTGTAGATGTATAGTATTTTTCAACAAAATCAGTTTCTAGACCAACCACACAGACTATTTATCTCAGTCATCCAGCAAAAAATCGTCATTCCTTTGATTTTTGAGCCTCGTCGGAAACTTTGCATGCTATGTGTGACTCAAAAATTTTTCTCTATACCGGCATACGAGAATCCGATATTTTTGAAACATCATTGAAAATCACAATCAGTTTCACCCATGCTCATCTATGAAATCATCCAGGTCGATAACCTATGCTGCGCTTGATATACTGTTTGATTTGGATGACGACTTTTTCTTCAAAATGCTGTATCATCATCACCATCATCATCATATATAACTTTCAAGAATGTAAAAGAATAACGGTCTAAATCAAAAATCGGACTCTGTTACGTTGTTTCCATACATCTTAACCTCAATTTAAGATTAACTCGAGCTCTCTAGCGCTTAATTTGACGGAGAAATCTTTCCGACAGTGTTTATCATGTAGAAAAAAGTCGCTTTTTAGATATATATATCTATATAGTGGCTCTAGTGTATGACATACGTTTTGGGACTCTTAATAAAACTGTCATAACTTTTGATCAAAGCATCGCTCAGTGCTGGGAGACATCTCATTTCAACCACAAATGTTCACTATACCAATTTTGACTTATTTTGATTCGAACCACTTAGTTGAAATACAAGAATTTCGGAAACATTAGGTTTCTAGGGCGCTTTTCAGGTCAAACAATCCTGTATAGGACTACAGAAAGTCTCCTTGTTTTTTTTTCTCTCCGCACCAGTAGATATTTCCCCCATCTCTTTAAATATTTTCTCTCTCGTGACGGTTATGGTTAAAAAAGAATTTTCTATTTTTCTCTTTTGTGACTGTGATCGACTTGTCCATGGATTATCTTCAAGGGGGAAACGATCTCTTAAAAGGGTGCATACACTTCTAAATGACAGTCACTTTAAGTGTCATTTAGTCACTTTAAGTGACACTTTAAGTGACACTTTAAGTGTCACGTTTATTTTCCTGTTTGAGCAAGATTTGAGCAGTAGTGATTGCTAATTTTTCCTCCTTATGGCAACAAAAAGTAAGATTTCGCTTTTTGCTCAAAAGTTACGTGGTATTGAATGTTTATGTTGCTTTATATTCTTTTCTATACTGGATTACTTTCTTTCCTTCTTTCTCTTGTCCTTTCTCTTCTCCTGCTTTCAAATTATTTTGCAAATTTGCAATATTTCAAATTATATTGCAAAGCTGACTTTGGTCCTGTGCAAAAAATGACGACAAACGGAAAAAAACATTTTTTCCTAATGTTTTATGCAGTTTTAGATGAGACCTGCTCTTGCTGCACCAGCTATAACTCAAGCTGCCGGGACTTTTTTTCGGACTTTCTGCACCTCATTAGAGAATTGCTCAGTGTACAAAATAGTGAACTAAAATTTGGGGCGTTGGGCGTTTAAGGTACTCAAAAGAACAAAAAACTCAAAAAAAGTGATAACTTCGAAATTAAAAATTGTTAAGAAAAGCACTTTTTTCCCAGCAAAAGAAGAAGATTAGCTGAACATTTTAGCATGGATGTATTGTCCTAACTCTCCTCTTTCAAACAGTACCTGAATAAAAAAATTTGGTGGGATGGTTTTTGAGAAATCCGGAGCAATACTAGAAGGTTGAATTCTTTTTAGAAAAGTTAGAAAATAGACCAAAGAATAAGATAGAGACGTTACTTCGAGTGAGTAGCATCCATAACTGAACGAACAAGTAGTAATAGAGAAAGAGAAAGACTGTGAAAAATCTATCGCCCGTCTATACATAGTAAAATAACAACAGTAAACAAATAGCAGTTTTTTGTAAATGCTGTTTACAGTTTTCTCGTGTACATTTTTGATTTTGTACTCACATCTATAGATGCATTCTAACTGTGTTCATTAAAATGATGAAAACAAACAGACTCGTATGACGCGGAACAGCCGTAGTCCATATATTTTATATTTTGGAACATATAGGACTGAATTCTTGATTTTCCAGGAAGTTGCGGAATTTGATATGATACTTAATCACTTAACTCGAAAGCGCACACACTTCAAGGCACTTAAAGTGAGGTTTTCCCCCTTGAATATCTTACAGCCATTCTTTCATATTTTGCACACAGACAGACAACCATTTTGTTACACCCTAGACTAAGTCAAGGAAATCCCGAGTTAGTGTCATACGCGATAGTTATATATGGAGGAACAGATGGTGCTGACCTAATTCGTCTAAATCAGATACAATATCAAGCGTGCCTGGCAGTTTCCGGAGCCATGCAACGAACAGCACGTGGAAAAATGTTGTACGATTTGGGTTGGCTGGTAGTGCATGACCTTATTTATGTTCGTAGACTGTGTCTGTTCACACACAATAATCTGTGGAACACAGTGGGCAGCTTTTTTTTTATTAAAAAAAATCCGTCAACAAATCAGGATTTTTGGTAGATCTTGCTATTTCTTGGACCCAAGAACTTTCGCTGGGGTGTGATATTTATTCGACTCTTGCATAACATATAATCATTAGTAAAGAGATTAGCAAGAGCCGAATAAATATCACATCCTAGCGAAAGCTCTTGGGTCCAAGAAATAGCAAGATCTTAGGGCAATGATACATTTTCGCCGTCAATGCTTATTTTCTCACATTTGAGAACAGGAGAAAAGGCAAATTAAAAAAAAGCCAAATACTTGATTAAAGCCAAACTAGTTGTGAAGGATTTCTCAAAACACTTTTAGTCTGAAAAGTTCATCAAGTAGATAAAATTTGAATTTCTCGGTTCAACTTCATCCTGGAACGATTAAAACTACTCCTGTATTCAACTCGATATCCTCTATCTAACGGCGCATGAAACGAGCGTTGATTTGAGAATTTAAAGTTTGTATTCAAATTTTAAAATGGAGCTATAATTCTGAAAACAAAGTTCAAAACTTTTTTCTCAAAAAATTGCAACTCGACAAGCCCAAAAAAATTCAGAATATAGATACGCTTAAACAGAAAAAAATTACAACATTAACTTCTATCTAATCCATTTACGATATAAAAAAACAGAAATTTGTAACAGTACAAAAAGATGACAAATGGTGGATGGTAAATGTTATTGAAATTGATAAATCATTGGGTGAAGTGTCTGAAGATATTATATGAAGATATTTTAATGGCTCAGAAGACGAACAATAATCAAAAATAGTACAGTAGAAACGATTAACAGTACGAATGAGCTTTTTTCCTTGATTGCAACGTTTTACAGAAACGAAGATTGAGTGAGATAGTGGTATGTGTGTAGAATAAGAGACAAAAACTTAATAATAAATACATAGATCCATGTGTGCCAGTACCATCATATATATTTTGGCTAACGATCGATTTAATGATGAAAACATTTTTTTTCTAAGAGTTTTCTTTGTTCAGAAAATTGGTAAAGGAAATCCACATACTAATTATCGCGTTTTTGAAAATGTTGATTGCGTATTTTTGACTGAAATACTTCATTTTGAAATTTTCTGGAGCAGAAAAATGTCAGCTATCTGATGCTAAAAACTTTTTGCTTTATCTTAAAAAGTGTAGATAAAAACTCGTAGTTTTGACCAGACGGAGATATCGAGGATTTCCAAAAAATCCTGATTTGTTGACGGATTTTTTTTAATAAAAAAAAAACTGCCCACTGTGTTCCACAGATTATTGTGTGTGAACAAACACGGTCTACGAACATAAATAAGGTCATGCACTACCAGCCAACCCAAATCGTACAACATTTTTCCATGTGCTGTTCCTTACATGGCTCCGGAAACTGCCAGGTACGCTTGATACTGTATCTGATTAACAAATTATATTTCTAAAAATATACCATCACGGCGTATATTAGATTATAGTGCAGGCGATGAAGATGTGGCCATCACTTTTGGAGAGTATTGATTTTAGGTTTGAAAACAAGCAAACATTAAATTTTGATTTTCATCTTGATGAACAATGCTATGATGATGAAGAGATCGAAGTGGAAATAATGGAACAAGAAGAGCTATTTAATACTAAAAGTGATAAAGAAAATAACATTCGTCATCAATTTTCGTTTGAATATATGCAAAATGCGGTGAATATCTAAGATGAAATAGATAATGCCATTGGCGAAAGAAAACACTCTTTGAAAAGTGTTCAGCATAGATTCCTGAAACTTAAAGATAAAAACTATATACACTGCTTTTGCACATACATTACTGCTCAGGACACAAGATCCCAAAAAGTCGACGAGATTAAGAATTTCACGTACCATTCGTTTGAAAAAGCAAGAGAAGAATTGTTATCCGTATTTGATATCGATCACAAGAGGTGAGCATTAAAAAAAGTGAAAACAATCAACGATAAAATTTTTCGTGCCGATGGTCATTGGATTTACGAATTTAAACACCGCCATGGTATCGTCTTAAGGAAAATTACGAAATTAGTCACAAAACGTGAAATTGAAAACACAGATACTATAAATAAATCAATCGATGATTTTGTGTGCAAACTTCAGAAAGGGCTACCAAAGTATTAATCGGATAATGTTCTTAATACTGATCAGTTAGGTTTAGAACTTCTAATGTATCCCAATAGAACATTAAGTTTTCAAGATGATAAGATGTTGGCAAAAGTTCGTTCAATTAATACCATCACGCATTCATATACTGTTCAGCCAGTGATCAGTCATCTGGTAGGCGCGTTGTTTCTTTGTTTAAAAGAAGCAACAGGTAGGTTAAGTAAGAAGACAAAAGAAAACTTGTTTAAAGCGAATAACGTGGCCGTAACTTTTAATAAGTCTGAAAAATTCCAACATCGTTAGTGCAATACTGGTGTGATGAGGTATTAAAAGCTGCAGAGAGTGTTTGCTTCTGTCTGATCGCTGGAGTGGTTAAGATGATGTGGGGATTTACGCCAAGTTAAAGAATGTTGAAAGTTTGGCAACACCGAAATAACCACCAGCATGATTCACCCTCAAGACGTGTATTTCAACAGACAATATAAATATATTATAAGAAAAATTTACGACCACATGAGGCTACATGATATGGAAATCAATTTGGCACAAAGAAACAACATAAGAAAAATGACTTTTTTCGTCTATAATCAAATGTATAGCAACAAATTCAATCATATAAGAAAGTATGCCTGGTATCAGCCGGGTTACCTCAAGTATAACCCTAGAGTCTTCGAGAACTCAAAAGAAATTTGTTTCTCCTTTGGTAATGATATTTGTTCACAAAAAACCATGTGACGAAACACCATCTATCAAGTGCAGCTATTGTAGCACACCATTATATTTTAGCTATTACTTTAAATAATACCTTATTCATTAGTATTATTATATATTTTATTATTATTATTATTTTCTTTCTCTTATTCTAATTTTACACTTACGTTAGGTTCCCTCGATAGCTTTCTTCTCTCTTTAAACTAGAAAAATGTTTTAATAATGTTAAATATTAACAATGTTTAATAATGTAATTAATGTTAAAAAATATATTGTATTTATATTATTAAATTAACTAGTTGATGTTCAAAACCCTGACCAGACAAAAACAAAAATAAAAATAAAAAGATTACCTTTCAAATGTGCGCCGCCTCTAAGCAGCAGAAAAGAAAATTTTCTACAATTATACACCTAGGAGTAGTAACGAAAAACGTTCCAGTCTTTCGTAACTCGTTTTAGCTGAGCTATTGAATTTTGACTATTACCGAGCCCCAGAGAAATCCGAAAATAAAAAATGGCTGTAACTTTTAGAAAAAGAGCGATGGGGGAAACTCTTTTAAGTTATTTACTACCTCAACATACTCTCTACCCATCCATGGAAAATATCATTGAGATAGGAGATGGACATCTCGAGAGGTTCCCTCGTCAGTTTATAATGATGATTTCGACTATTAACTTTATTTTCCTTAGAAACTGATTTTGAATCTGAATTTAAATTTAAATTTCGAAAACTCAATGATTTTTGTGTGGTCTATATAAAAACATGATCAAATGCGAATAGTTTTCGTCAGCGGTTGTTTTTTAAGTCATTTTTGGAAATGAACCGAGCGTGTGCTAATTCAGTATTCGTTAGAGCATTCTGCGAAGAAGTTCAAACCTTATAAAATGCAATAATTAGAAATTCTGCAATTCGAAACTTGATGCATCAGCAATCGTTCTACTACCAAAATTTAAGATCAAGTTCTATAATATTTTATTCGTTAAATTTTTTTAACATTAATCAATAACGTTTTTTCTTTTTGGATTCTTTCGAAAAGTATAGAATTCAAATTAACGAAACATGAAGTCGACTCGAAAAAATTAAAATAAATACGCTGCTATTTCTTACACAAGACGATTCGATCATTTTTTAAAATATCTTCTATCTCAGTCACGAAACCTTTCTAAAGTCTAAAAATTAGATTCGTAGATAACTTTGGATGAAGGATCAAATGAGAGTAGGAGAAAAGAAAAACAAATATGTGACGTCTTTTTACAGGTATTCTTGGTTAGGTATGCACCAAACCGATAGGTCGGTGACCGAACGGTTCGCAACTGAACATGTTCACTGCCGATCAGCGAGCCCTAGCTTGGGATGGTTGCATGCCTGATCTGGACTAAAGGCAAATTGAATGAAATTGAAGCTTTTGAAGGAACTAACCAGTGAGAAAATAGATTAACTAAAGCACAATGTGAGCGAATGTGTCTTCTACCGAATCGCTATCGAACGTGTTCGGACGAAGATTGTAAATACGATAGTTTATATTTTTCTCGTCAGAGACATCGACGAGCGCTCTGCTGACAAACTATTAGGACAAAGTACCATAAACCTTATAAAGATACATTCAAATTAGAGCTGCAACTGTCTGTCTACTTTTTTCTGCACAGTGAAAAAAACCATTTTTGTATGAAAACAAAGTAAATCAATCTGCTATACAGAGGCCTAGGGGTGGCACTTTCCCGTTCCTTTCCTGAGTAACGATAAAGTGGTATCTTTTATTTCAAAAGTAAAGAGTAAAGATATATTCGATATCTTTTCTTTCCTAAGAAAAAGGAAAGTGGTATCTTTTTCTATTCCAAAAGAAAGAAACGCGATATCTTTTCTTTTTTCAAGAAAAAAACTTTTTTTG